GCCCTCACTGGAAGGAGATGCTGGTGCAGTCCTTCTAGTACAGCCTGCACAGCCCTGAGGCAAATAAACCAGCCTCTAGAGCAGTGATTTTCTTTTCATTATAGTTATTTTATTTATTTTATTTTATCTCAAATGAACATGAGAGTACAAATTTTTAGGTTACATTGTTCTCACTTACAAGGTCAAGTTCAAGTTATAACACTCTCACATGTGCACCTTGGGTGAACTCCTAGTCCTTGCCTTCCCTCCTACCACCTATGCAGTAATTTTCAGCCACAGCACACGGGTATGCCATGAAAACATTCAAATATTATTAATCAAACTATTTTCTAAAGAAGTTCAGAGAAGGGTAAGTATCGTATCTTCTTTTTGCTTACTTTTTTTCTTGATCAGCATAGTAAGTGTGCCATGGAAGTTTAACTACAGGCTCAGGAGTGCAGTGAGAGGCTCAGAGCCCGTAGCACACTGGTAATGGCGCCGGCCACATACACCCAGGCTGGTGGGTTCCAACCTGACCCAGATCAGGTAAACAACAATGACAAGGGCAACAAAATAATAGCCAGGCGTTGTGGCAGGCGCCTGTATTCCTAGCTCCTTGTGAAGCTGAGACAGGAGAATTGCTTAAGCCCAAGGGTTTGAGGTTGCTGTGAGCGGTCATGCTAGGGCAATGTACCGAGGATACAAAAAAAAAAAAAAGTGCAGTGAGATAAAAGAGGTTGAAAAACAATGCTCTATAGCAACCCGTAGACTAAGATGGGCACTGCTCCCACCAGGGCTGGCCCATCTCTAGGGATGGCACACAACTCTGTGGGGAGCAAGTCTTTCAAATGCAAACCACCCCAGAGCCAGACTCCCAACCGCTTCCTCTATGACAGTGGTTCTCAACCTTCCTAATGCCTACAATAGGCCTAATGTTACAAAGGGGTTGCGACTCACAGGTTGAGAACCACAGCTCTGTGGGGCTGTCAAACGCCTGGCCACTATCACCCAGGGTCAGGCACCAGGTGACTAGGAGCAGCCCTGTACTCCAGTGCCCACTGCCGATTCTAAGCCTGCTTGTCCGATTTGTTCCTTCCCGTGGAAACATCAGGTTTTCCTCTAACTCCCTCTTCCTACTGACAGAGCAGGTGCTTCCCTGGGTGGCCCTGTGGGACCTGGTGCCTCTGGTTCCTAGAGAACTGTGAGGAAACCTCTTTCTTCATCACAGTCATTATTTACAAACAGTTTGTCTCATCATATCTGCTTAAAACAATTCTTCAGTCACTTAAAACACACAGACAGTCATGTCCCCTGGCAGGGCTGTCCTGGGGATCTCGCAAGATAGCAAGGACAGGACCCTGCTCAGAGATGACACACAATCCCTGGATTACTCCACATTGGATCCCTTTCCTGAGAAGGCTGCCCACTCCTCCCTGTCCGTATGTTACTCTTGTTCCCCACACCACACTGAGGCACCCACAGACCCGAGAGCTCCCACCCCCGCAAGCCCAGCAGTTGTGCTTTACCAGTGGCTGTGGCAGGGGATGCCAGGAGCAGACAGGTTACCCAGACCAGGACCCTGGTCTCCACTCTCACTGCTGTCCCCATGCTCCTTATAAGTTACTTGCAGAAGCTGCAGGATTCCTGGAATGAGTTCCTCGCCCTTTGGTACCTCCAGTCTTTCAAGGCTGTGTTATAAAATTCTCTGTGGACCGCCCCACCTGGCTGGGGACCAGCCCCAGAACCCAGTGCCACACGCTCAGGGGCAGGGCTGGGTGACTGCCTTGCAGAGTCAGGGATGATATGACAGTGACTTTCTCATAGAGGCCTACTCTCTTGAAGGACCCTCGAGTGACAGGACAGAAGCAGGACACTGATGCCGAATAGTGAGCAAGGGAAACTGAGGTCTAGGAGTGGGGATGGTGGGGGCCTGGGGCAGCAGAAAGACCTTGTGTGTGACCTTGTACAAGTTACTTCACAGCTCTGGGTCTAGATTTGTCATCTACAAAACAGTGATGATAACAGGACCCACCTCACAGGTGGAAGTGAGGGTGTGGGGGGAGGCGGAGAGGAAGGGACACATGTCCAGGTCAGGGCCAACCCCAGTCCAGCTGCCGCTTCATGCACCACGCTCACTGTCCCAGGTGCAGCTCTTCCTGCCTCCTCAGCCCCCCACAGGCCTGCTTCTCTGCCCCCTGTCCCTCCACTCTGGGATGCCAGGACCTGGCCTTTTCCAGACACTTTTCCCTCAGCCCAGCCTTTAGGTGACTGGACACTGTGCTCATTGCAGGCCCAGAAGTCCGGTTCTTTCTTCTGACACTGGGAGTCATTAAGTAACAAATATGCTTTTGAAACATGCCCTCTTGGACCCCATGCTTGGGTGGAGAGAAGTAAATGGAGCACAGGCCACAGTCTAAAAACCCCTGGGTTCTAATACTGGCTCAGCATTTTGACCTTTAATATCTTGGACCCTGATCCCATCTTCTCCCTGAGTCTCAGTTTCCTCATCTGTACAGTGAGAAAAAATGCTCAGGGACCAGCCCAAGCCCCAACCCACTCCCTAGGGAAGGAGAAAGACTCACTGTAGTTGCCCCACATATTGGGTCTGAAAATAAAGAAAATCTCATCCCCATGGTCTGCCTTCACATGAGGTGGCTTGATGTCCTTGAAGAAGCTGGGCTCATGCTGGAACTCATAGAAGTAGACAGGGGCGTGGGGACCTGCAGGGGTGGATAGGCGGTGACATGGCAGCCCCTCACTTGGGGCTTTTCTATATCACTCATGGTGACAAGACATCAAGGTTCAAATCTGTCTAGAATCTGGACAATGTGGTGGAGAGCCGCAGGCTGGAGCAGGGGCAGGGGGAAGGGCCTGGTTAAATCATGGCTCAGTGCCCGGTGCTCAGCAGCTAGGGTGTCAGTCACAACACCAGAGCTGGCAGGTTAGAATCCAGCCCGGGCCTGCCAAACAACAATGACAACTGCAACAAAAAAATAGCCGAGTGTTGTGGTGGGTGCCTGTAGTCCCGGCTACTTGGGAGGCTGAGGCAAGAGAACCATTTAAGCCCAAGAGTTTGAGGTTGCTGTGAGCTGTGACGCTATTGCACTCTACCAAGGTCGACACAGTGAGACTCTGTCTCCAAAAAAAAAGAAAAAAAAAGGAATAAATTAATAAATATAAAAATAAATCACGGCCATGGATTTCCAAGCTGTGTGGTTCAGTTTTCTCAGCTGTACAGTGAGGAGAATGTCTGTCTATTAGACTAGCTATGAGGATGTACACTAGGGTGACCAGATTTGAACATTTGTAAAGCGGGACAACATGGGGGGGGGGGCGGGGCAGGGGACAGCCGGGCCTGACAAGAACGCGAACTTTGGTAAGCAGTTCTCAATAATCCCTTCTCAACAATTATTTGTTATTATTACAGTTTAACATTATAAAATTAACAAAAATAATATAAAGCTCATATTCTGGCGAAATAGCCACATGGCAGCCGAAAACCGTATATTCCCTTCCTGTTCTCCCGCCCACTCGTGCATTCGTTCCAAAAATCAGGACTTTTTTAAATCACCACGGGACACGGAACAAATTGTTAAAAAGCGGGACGTCTGGTCACCCTAATTTACACCAAAATCCCAGCTCTCAGGGGTCGGTCCAATAAAGATGTGGGTGGGGATGTGGACACTGACAGACCTCACCTGGGACTCCCACCTCTGAGATGCTGCCTTGCCAGTCGGGGGTCAGGTACAAAGATACTCACTCTGAGAGTGTGCTACTCAGAGTGCAGGGATCACGAACATGGAGTCTGCCATCATGTCCTGGTGCTGGGCCTAGAGGGTCTGGGGATCCCCACTGTCCCCCATGTACTCCTCCAACAACAGGTCACCAATCTCAGGAGGCAATATCTACCCCAAGTGGATCAGGAAGAGGCAGGTTAGGCCACTGCCAGGGGCAGGGAGGCAGCAGCCTCAGGGGTGGGGAGATGGGCCATGGGATGGGACAGGGAATGGGGGAGAAGGGCCAAGCTCTGAGGTGATCCACAAACACACACATACCCTGGCTTTTCCTCACAGCAGGACATCTTGGTTTCCCACCTCAGGGAGGAGAGAAGCCCCTCCCTCTCCATCAGGGCAGGACCTCAGGAGCCTCACCAACACCTGGGACGTTTTCTGCAGAATATCTTTCCAGGCCTCTCTGTCTGTTTCCTTCCTTGGCTCATCCATGCCCATGACCTGGGTGGTAAGGAGAGAGCCACAAGTTGGGGAGGGATTGGCCTGGAGCTTTTCAGCCCTGAGACCACCCCTCACTTGTGACCAGATGGACTCCTCTGGGCACATGAGGGCTCAGGGTTGGGTCTCACCTTGGGGATGACCCAGCCATACTCATCGTTGTTGACCCCGATGATGCTGGGGACAGGTTGGAGGTCAGCTGAGGCCAGCAGTTCCTCAGGATGCTTGGGCAAGAAGGACCCATCTACCACGCCGGGGATGATTTTAATGGTCTGAGAGGCATTCAAGGTCAGGGAGGAAGGTTAGCTAGCTGATATTTGCTGCTTATCTTGTGAGAGCGTCCACCCCTTCCTGGCTCATCCCAAGATGATCCCATCCACCCTGGGAGACCCTGCCCCAGGCTTAGCACACCCTGGCCTCCACTTCATCCAGGGCCATGAGGACACCAAGGCATACAGATGGGGTAACTTGCTCAGGACCTGCATAGGACATCCAGCCTGTCTGCCCCACACCCCACCTGCCCTCTCATCCACTCCCATATCCCTTTAGCCACACCTTGCTAATAGCCAGAATCTCCTCTTCACTCTTGCCCCGCAGGCAGCCCACCAGGGCCTCTGAATCAACCTGGTCACAGGCAGACAGGTTGGCCACCATCTGTAAAGGGACCAGAGAGGGACTGGCTCATCCGTCCAGTTAGGGGAGAGGCCCAAGGTCCTGGCTGGGGGCAGGGACACCCCAAATGCAGGGCATTCTGTGTGGTTTTCTGCAGTTTGGGGACTGTTTCAACCTCTTCCTTGATTCTGCCTATGATGGGGACCCATGGGGTGGTAGCTCTGCAGTCTACAGAATGTACCCAGCCTCTGCAATGGCAGAGATGTGTGGGTTCTGACCCTCAAGCACCTCAGCCATCAATGGTGAGAAGCACTTCCCAGGGCATCCAGTGGTCCTTGCTGTCCACATTTAACAGAGGCTCTGTGAGGAAGGTGACAAGGCAGCACATCTGGGCTTCCGGGGCTGAGGGCACTCACCATGGAGACTTTGTCAGAAGAGCTGACCATGAGACTAGGCAGCAAGGCCACACCACTCTCCATGTTGGCACCATGGAAGAGTCCTTGGGACATGGGGGAGACAACATGCAAGGACACACTTGTGCCACTGAAGAAGCCCAGGACACCCAGGCGGTACTGGATAGTGACCACCACCACGTCCTCAAAGGCTGCCAGCATGGAACCATCATACATGGAAGCCATGCCCATGACAAGCGCACCACCATGGATCCATACCATCACCTGGGGAAATCAAGGCACATACTGTGTGGCTCCTTCCCAACCCAAACCCCACCAGGGCTCCTACCTTGACCAACCACTGCTTTGTCCACCTGTCCACACAGAAAGGTGTCTTTCAGATCATCCTATATGAACATTAACCAAAAACGTCCTCCATTCTCATAGGCCCAACTGATAATCCATAGCTGAGTCTTTTGTGGCCTTAAAGGGCAGTCCTGAGGCACTTAAGTGGGTCCCTGGGATATGGGTTCAATGAATGAACCCTGGCTCCATCCCAGGGACACAGCCTTTGATCTCTGGTAGCAGTCAGAGCTTTATGACCCCATGGGTCAGTTGCCCACTCTGGGTAAAAAGCACTTCTTGAATCTGGTAGTGCAGTTGTTCTCAACTCTCATAATGCCAAAGCCCATTAATACAGTTCCTGTGGGTCCCAACCCACAGGTTGAGAACTGCTGTGTTAGGCAGAGAGGCTTCTCAGCAGGGTCCACACTGCAGTGAGTCCTAAGCTAATACTGCCTTTTCTAGTCTTCCTAGTCTAGAAGAAATGTCCTCCCATCCCCTAGCTAACTGTGACCTGACACTCACAGGCAGGTTAGAGCCCTCATGGGTATGGGCAGGTGTGTAGATGCTGAGGTACAGACAGTCCTCGGACATGGGGATGGAAGGCATGGTCATGTTGAACATGGTCAGAGCCTCTTCATTCATTGAAGTGAGATCCTGAGGACACCTGGTGGCCATGGCAGAAAGTCAGTTCAGGGCCTGTGCTGTGGTCAAAAGCAGATTCTGGGGCCAGATTTGCTCCCAGTTCCCATTAACTCCCTTCTCCCAAATATCCTGCTCACACATGATCCTCCTCTAAAGTCCCTTCCCATCAAGTTTCAGGACTAAGGCTTGGGGAAGCTGGGATGGAGCTTAGACTTCCAGGGAGTCCTCAAATTTGTTTCTTATCTTTTATATTTGTTTTGTAGAGATGGGGGATGGGGTCTTTGCTATGTTGCCCAGACTAGTCTCAAAGTCCTGGGCTCAAGGAATCCTCCCACCACAGCCCCTAAAGTAGCTGAGACTACAGGCATAGTCCACCATGATAAGCTCTCAGGGTTGTTGAGGGCCTTGTATATCAGTCCCCTTGAGGCTAAGAACTTGGCCCTGAGGGGTCACTATGAGAACACTGGCTGTATGCCTCTATGTGTTGACATTCACCACTGAATCCCTGTACCCACTCAGGCCTGGAACAGGGGAGTAGCCCATAGACAGGTGCCTCAAGAATGAATGAATTTTAATTTCTCATGAGAAGAGCAGTGGAACATCCTGCACTGCAAGTCCAGACTCTCAGGGAACCTCATCATTCCCAGTATTCAGTTGTAAGAGCACACCTATGTCCCATGGCCAGAGGCACCTGGCCCTGTCAGTTGACACAGGGACTGTGGAGAGTGGGGATCCCTAGGGAGCCACCATTGCTGCTCTCCACAGAGGTCTAAGGTATTCTGCTTGCTAGAGTCAGGGGCTCCTACAAGGGTCATAGAACCAACCTGAACCTCTCCCAGAGACGCCGCCCCCTGGTGGCAGAGAACAGTTGGCATAACTAGAGTCTGCGGGGATGTGTGTCTGCTCCTCCCTTCAGCACCTGGAGCTAATGCCCCCTGAGTGCCAAGCCCTCAGCCAAGAGGCTGGGAAAATTGCTCCTCCCTACTGAGCCTTGGGGTGCTCATTGAAGGAATGCACTTGGGAATCCACTAAACTCACAGGGAAACTGGCTGTAGAGTTTTGGTGAAATCACAATTGCAGCCTGGCTGAGCTCAGCGTCCCCAACCCCCACCCTAGGGCCTGGACCATCCTGGACCCTGGGAGGACTTACATGGCTGGCTGGGACGTCCCATCTCTAACACCACTTCAAGATTCTGGGAGCTCAGGAGGTGCAAACCTCAGCAGCCCTACAGGTGGCTTGGCAAAAGGGATTCCCAGGAAGGTGTGGACCCCCACGTCAGTGCCCTTCACGTGGGTGAGGCTCCCCTGCACCTGCCCTGTGTGTGTGGTTCGGATGGGGCTGGCAGGGTCCTGACCTGTGGGCAGAGACACAGACACAATGATTAGGTGTCCCTGATCAGCAGCCCTCCCAGATGCTGGTATTGCCACCTCCTTGCTATTCTCAGCTCCATTCAAGGGACCCTGATCCACAAGTTGTGACATTGTGCCCTGATTCCCACCTTCCAAGCACGTCCCCAGCCTATCCCACCAGGCTCACAGAGGCTCTTTGGGGCTGGCCACCATCATTTAGCCCTCAGAGCTTCAAACAATGGTCACATGCCCTTTGTGGGGTGAGAGTGTTCTTTCAACCAATCATGTGCTAGGTCATGTGAGGCAGTGCTCCTATTGTGGGAATCTGACAGGCAGGTTTCCTGTCCTTAGGGACCTCATGGTCTAGATGGCAAGAAATGACATAAAGAAAGCATCTTCCAAACCAGAAATGATCTTGATGAGAAGAGCTATGAATGAGGAGCTGCTGTGACTGGGACCCACAAAGCCCAGGCTGCCTGCTATGAAGATCAGGGAGGGAGGGAGGGATTGAAAGTTACCTACTGGAGAAAGGTGGCATTTGGGGGAGTGTGATGGCTCAATCATACCTCCCTAAGCCTTGAACTCCCAGGTTCAAGTCATCTTTCTGTCTTACCCTCCTGAGGAGCCATGACCACAGGCCACACCACCACATCTCATTAATTTTTTTTTATGGAAGTGGGATCTTGCCATATTGTCCAGGCTGGTCTTGAACTCTTTTGGCCTCAAGTGTACCAAAGTGCTGGCCCCAACATTTTTAACAGGTAGTTTCTACAAACAAACAAGACATATGCCAGCTGCACAGTAGAAAAAAAGCAGGGCAGGAGGACACTCAGAAGAAGCAAGGCAAATAAATGGCTGTTCAACAAATGGAGAGATGTTCGTCTCACTCGAGGTAAGAGAAATGCACATTGAAATCTGATTATGATGTCAACCCCTTACTTTGTCAAACAAAAAAGCAAGACAATCAGATACCACACATTTTGTAATGGAAGTACATGGCACATCATATAAAGTAGTCTTGCCAGAAAAACAAAATGCAAAACCTAAAACCTGAATCTGATTAGGCCTGTAGACTATAAGTACAAGCTTACAGGGTATACGGGGCTAGAGGAAGAGGTAAAAGACACCACTGCTCTCCTTGAGGATCCCTGCGGGGTAAAAAAGAAAGACATCGCTGGGAGGCACTCAGCAAAACCCAAAATGGTGGGTTCATCTCCAGAACAAATAAACTGGTTTCCTTAAGACAATGACAAAATCAGAATGAAAATAAGAGAGGCAGAGGGAAAAATGTAAAGGTCAGTGGCTCATGCCTGTGACCTCCAACAGTTTGGGAGACTGAGGCAGGAGACTTGCTTGAGGCCAGGAGTTTGAGATCAGCCTGGGCAACATAGTGAGGCCCCATCTCTACAAAAAATAAAACCAATTACCCTGTGGTGTGGGCCTGTAGATCCAGCTACCCAAGGAGGCTGAGAGGGGAACATCCCTTCAGTCCAGGAGTTAGGAGCTCCAGTTAGGATCACACCACTGCACTCTGGGCTGGGTGATAGAGAGAACTTGTCTCTGATACAATCATATTAATAATCACAGAAAACGATCAGAAAGAGGAAATATATTTACTTTTAATTAAGTGGAAGTAGGTCATCATAAAGGTTTTCATTCTCATCATCTTCGCAAGAAGTAAGCTGAGGAGGAGGAGGAAGAGGACGAGTTGGTGTTGCTGCCTCTGGGATGGTGGTTCATCTGCTAATTTTTTACATTGGTGCTAATCCCCTCAGAACCTTCAAATATTTTTATTGAAAAGAATCCATGTTTAAGTGGACCCACCTAGTCCAAACTTGTGTTGTGGAAGGACCAACTATATATTCATGAAAAAAATATATATCCAGGGCAGCGCCTGTGGCTCAAAGGGGTAGGGTGCCAGCCCCATATGCCAGAGGTGTTGGGTTCAAACCCAGCCTCAGCCAAAATCTGAAAAAAAAAAAAAATCTGTATCTCCACACAAAAACGTGCACAAATGTTTATAGCTGCATTATTCAAAATAACCACAAGGTGGAAACAACTCAATGTCCACCAACTGATGAAGGGTAAACAAAATGTGGTATAAAAATATAGTAGAATATTATTTGCCCAAAGGAAAGGAAGTACTGATGTGTGCCACAGCATGAACAAAAATTAAAAATCTTACGCTAGGGTGGCGCTTGTGGCTCAGTGAGTAGGGTGCTCGCCCCATATACAGAAGGTGGTGGGTTCAAACCCAGCCACGGCCCCCAAAAAAGAAACTGAAAAAAAAAAAGAAAATCTTACACTGAGTGAAAGAATCCAGTCATGGGCTATGCATTATATGATTCCGTTCATATGAAATGTGTGTAATAGGGAAATCTGTAGAGACAAATAGTAAATTAGTGGTTTCTTAGAGCTGGGAGGTAGAATAGGGTTGGGAGGTGATAGCTAAAGTGTATGATATCTTTATTTTTTACTGAAAACATTTTTGAAAAATTTTGTACTTTTTATTTTTTTGAGACAGAGACTCACTCTGGAGTGAGCACTCAGCACTGGAGTGCTCTGTGTTAGCCTAGCTCAAAGCAACCTCAAATTCTTGGGTTCAAGTGATCTTCCTGCCTCAGTCCCCCATGTAGCTGGCCACAAGGCCCAGCTAATTTTTTTTCTTTCTTTTTTTTTTTTTTTTAGTACAGATTGGTTTTACTCTTGCTCAGGCTGGGTCTTGAGCTCAAGCTCAGGCTGGTCCTGAGCTCAAGCAATCCACCCATTCTGGCCTCCCAGAGCCTAGGATTACAGATGTGAACCACCACATCCAGTCAAATTGTGTATGTTTTTATAAAGAGACAGGTTCTCATTGTGTGGTCCAGGCTGGACAGTGGTTGTGCACAGGTGTGATGATGGTGTACCACAGCCTTGAACTCCTGACCTCAATCTATCCTCCTACCTCAGCCTCCCAAGTGGCTCGGACCTGGCACTCCCAGGCATGTGCCATTGTGCCCAGCTTATATGAGGTTTCTTTTTGAGGTGTAAAAAATGTTCTAAAGTTGACTGTGGTGATGGTTGCACATATCTGTGAGTAAACTGAAAATCATTCTCTTGTACGCTTTTAGGTGAATTGTGGTGTGAATTTAGGTATGTGAATTATATCTCAATAAAGCTGTTAAAGGAAAGAGGAAAGTTGATATTAACAAGCCTGGCACTATTAATATTTATTTCGGCATGAATTGAGATCAGCCAAGACTCACAGGCATTGCTGGAGGGAGTGTAAATTGGTACAACCACTTGGGAGAACAGCTTGGCAGTAACTACTCAGGTTGCAAAAATATCCTATGACCCAGAAATTCCATTTCTGTTAGTTACATACTGAGCGCAGTGTGTCCACATGCCGCCTAGAAGACATGTTCCAGAACGTTCCTATTATCATATTCATCATAGGTCCAAACTGTAAAGCACCTAAATGACTGCTGGGGAATGGGGAAACCTGTTTTTGTAGATTCCCATAATGGAATTCTCTGCAATGGTGAGACTGAACGATCTACAACCACACACAACACCTGGGATGAATCTCACAGACAGAATGTTGAGTGGAAGGGGCCTGACACAAAAGACTGCATAGGACATGATTCCATTTATCTTCCTTTATATTGAACCACATGCTGTGTGATTTTGTTTGGCAGAAGCTAACCCATGACATTGGGAGTTGGGATAGGGTATTGGGGGGTTGTTGTTTTTTGAGATAGAGTCTCACTCAGTTGCCCTGGGTAGAGAAGTGTGGTGTCATAGCTCACAGCAACCTCAAAGTCTTGTGCTCAAGCAATCCTCTTGCCTCAGCCTCCCAAGTAGCTGGGACTATGGGTGCCCCCACAACGCTTGGCTAGTTTTTCTATTTTTTAGTAGAGATGGGATTTTGCTCTTGCTCTTGGATAGATCCCCTCCAAGTCAGGAACTGGCTCTAGACCTCCTCAGTACTGGCCATCTATTAATCTCTGTTGCCCTGAAGACCCAGAACTTTCACTGATGCTGCCATACTGACTAGACCCACTCCCTGGGTCTGTAGCTACTTTCTTTGATATCCTTGGATTGGAGAAAGGTAGTTTCTCTATTTTGATATTACTGTGCTGAGGCAAGTGTCCCTCACATGGGAGTTGCTTGTCCTAGGGTCTCAGCCCAGTGAGAGGATTCTTCCACCCAAGGAGACGTCCTTTCCTGCCTCGTGTGGGCTGGGAGGTCAGGGCCGACCTGGCTGTGCCCAGAATGACCATCTTTGCTTTCCAGCCTGGACCCAGCTCTGGACCAGCTCTGGACATCAGGCTTCCTCCTCCCCAGAACCTGGGCCTTACCCTCATGTGGGTGTCACTTGTCAAACATGTTGCCATATGTCTAAAGCCCAGTAGTGGACCACATGAGATCCTGGTCACTCCCCCAAAATGGAAGATGCCAGGATGATCCAAGATAGGTGCCAGAATCTCAAATCTGGCTCAGCTAAGACGCTTTCCAGACCTCTTTACTGTCATCATCATCATCATCATCATCACTATCATCATTCTTTTCTTTTTTGAGACGGAGTCTCAAGCTGTTACCCTGGGTAGAGTGCCATGGCGACACAGCTCACAGCAACCTCAAACTCTTGGGCTTAAGTGATTCTTTGGCCTCAGTCTCCCAAGTACCTGGGACTACAGGCATCCACCACCACGCCTGTCTATTGTTTGGTTGCCGTTGTCATTGTTGCTTAACAGGCCCATGTTGGGTTCGAACCCGCCACCCTAGGTCCCAAGAGCCAGTGCTCTGCAGACTTAGCTATGGGCACTTCCCCACTATCATCATTCTTATCTTACAGATAAGGAAACTGAGACCCAGAATGGAGAAATGACTTGGCCAAGGCAATGCAAGTTGCATTGCCACAGATGGAAGGAGGTAAGAAAGGGTAGGGCCTTGGCTCATGTTGTTCCTTCTATGTGGAATGCACTTCCCTGCATTGTCTAACAGGTGAACTCCTAGTTATACT